TTAATAATTTTTGGAAAATTTAAAAGACCATAATAACTTCCTTATTGTAAATTAAAGACAACTACCTATTTCTACTTACTGTTTTTCCTATCAGAAAAATTATCATAAATTTATTTACCTGCATTCGATTATCTACATTTTTTAAAAATCCAGTTAACCGTTCTTTCAAATGTTTGAAATTATCAAATGTTTCTAGATTAATTACAGAATGTATTGCTTTTTCAATTTTATGGTAATAATTGTTCAAATTAAGGTCACGTAAAAGATTAATTAGAAGAAATTTGTCATCTCCTGTGTTTAATTGTTAAATTTAAGGATAAATTAAAGTTGGAAGGGTGTTGGGGCAGAGGGATGCTCGTGCGTGGCCAGCGCACTTACCAACTAATCGGATCAACTCAACTATCCTTCGTTGCTGAAAGAGATAAATAAAAACTAGACTGGCAATAATATTTACTTCTCATATTTAAGAATACAATTCTCACTCATAATAAAAATAGAAAGAAAAACTAACTGACTAACTAGGGATACAATTTATTATAAGTGATTAAAATTAAATATAAAATATAAGGAGTCGGTTGTTCTAGAGCAAGGAATTTATTTAGTATTAGGCCATTAAAGTTTTCCTTACAATAATAACTAAAAATAAATATTTGCTAATATTTTATATAAAATATAGAGAATCAGAGTTCGTTTTGTTCCTGAAACTTCATAAAGAAATAAGCAAATAAAAGGAAACGATAATCAAAATTTTAGTTTATTTTTATTAACCCGGCCATAATTTGAAATTAAGTTTGGATTTTGATAAATTCATTAATAAAACAAAAATAATTGTATAATTTATTTTTTTCAAATTATATTTAGTAACAACATAATTTCTAATTACCCGGTTGATCTATACGAAGTAATTTCTTTGTCATAAAAATTGAAAGAGGATCAAAAATCATTTCATATTTTTTATTAATATTTATCATTTCAGTTACTTTTCCAAAAAAATTCAAAGCAAAATTGTCATCCTCAAATAAATTTTTATTTTCCTCATTTTGTTTTAATATATTAATTATTTCACTAATTTTCTCATTATTTTCATCAAATTCCAAATTATTTGAAACAATTTTCTCAACAATATAATTAATTCTTTGCAAAAAACATTCAGCAAAATCATTAGAAATTATTGCTTTTCGAACTTTTTCATCAATTATTTGTTCAATTAAACTTTCTTTACACAAACTTTCTTCATTAAAATCAGCCCAAAGAAAAGTTAAAATTATTATTCTGGCCTTAAAAATATCCTCAACTTTTGAAATATTACGAAATGAATTTTCCATTAAACGTCTAAGACGTTCCTCTTTATTTAGTGGAATTTCATCAAGAATTGTTTCTATTTCTTTAGTTTTTATTAAATTTTGTAGGAGGAAAAGAAAAACTGAAAATAATTAATTTAATATTTTTTTTGTTAAATATTTTGATTTTTTATATTTTTATATTATTTAATAACACTTCGTATAATTAGGGCTAGAATAGTAGGCAAAATGCCTTTTTTCTAGATAGGAAAAAATCCTAGCTAAGGATGGCGGTTCCTGGGAAATCTCCGGATATCCGGAACCGGAACCGGTATCCGAACCGAAGATTTCGGATATCCGGAACCGGAACCGGTATCCGAACCGAAGATTTCGGATATCCGGAACCGGAACCGATATCCGAACCGAAAATTTCGGGTATCCGGAACCGGAACCGAAATTTTTATTTTCAAAATTTTCGCCTGCGGCGCTGTAAAGTTGAGTCCCAATGGATGATATAAAGGGATTAAGATCAATTTTAGATGGATTTGGGGAATTAACAGAGGTATTGAGGGAATTTGCGATTAACAGTGTTATTTATATGAGGAATGAGTGATTTTGGGAATTAATAGAGACATCGTGTATATTGGTGGATTAAGAGCGGGAGGTTCGGAATAACGAGAGGTATAGAGGGACCTATCTACATATATCTCTCTACCTATATCTCTCGGGGATTTATTGATATTAGGATTTATCAATATATTCCCTTGGATATTATTATTATTGATATATCCCCTCTAATCCTTCATCATTGATCCCTCTATATGACAACCAAATACATTAACGTTTCCTTAAACTTGTAAGCAAGCACGTATGTGAGTTTTTAAAAGTGCTTACAACTCTTTCCCTTTTAGCACCGCAGGCGAAAATTTTGAGAATTATGGTAAGCCAAGGCTCCAGATTTCTTCCTCTTCTGCGCCGCAGGCGAAAATTTTGAGAATTATGGTAAGCCAAGGCTCCAGATTTCTTCCTATTCTGCGCCGCAGGCGAGAATTTTGAGAATTTTGGAGGTCATTAAGTCAGTTTTTTTCGATTTTTCAGCGCCGCATGCGAAAATTTTGTAATTTTGGAAGGTCCAGGAGCCAGTTTTCTTCCTCTTTCTGCGCGGCAGGCGAAAATTTTGAGAATTTTGGAAGATCCCTAAGCCAGGATTCTTCCCTTTTCAGCGCCGCAAACGAAAATTTTGAGATTTTGGAAGATCCATAAGCCAGGATTCTTCCCTTTTCCCTAGTTCTAGGAACCGAACCGAAAATTTCGGATATCCGGAACCGGAACCGATATCCGAACCGAATCTTTCGGATATCCGGAACCGGAACCGGTGACCGAACCGAAGATTTCGGATATCCGGATCCGGAACCGGTATCCGAACCGAAAATTTCTGGATATCCGAGGTTTTTTCGGTTCCGGATACCCGGAACCGCCAACCTTAATCCTAGCTCTATTTATAATATTAATAGAATTTTATATATTTGTGATATAATAATAAATGTTAACTTACATAAAAGGAAAATAAATTTACTTTTCATTCTTTAATGAAAAGATTATCAATCTGAAATTAAACAAATTTTTTATTTTTAATTCCCAAAGTTGCCAAATTTTTTCTAACCATATTCCGGCATACATAGCTTTCTGCCCTTCATATGCCGGAATAGGCTTAACAACTCCAAATATCCTGATTTAAAATGCACATTAGAACTTCTTATTTCCACTTACTTTTTAGGCCTGCTATTCTCATAGGTTACTAGACCCCTATTGTACTCCCTCCTTCATCTCCTGAATATAATTCTTTAAACCCAAGAGGTAATTACAGTAAATAAAATAATGGTGTCGCAAATGGTACGGCAGATAAATCGCTCGGCGTATTTGTGCACGGCGGAAAAGTTACGGAACCCATATTCGAGAGGTTTTTTTACTAACACTATGTGAACAACTCTTAGAATAGCTGAGACAACAGGATACATTCATTTATTATAGCAAGAATAAAATGTTTAAATGATTTTAAAATATTTTTATTAAAAATATTTTTATAAGGCATTATTATGAAATGATCGGGCAGACTAAAAAAGATATAAAGTGGAAATCATAAAGGGCAAATATAAAGGGCATTATTGAGAAATTTATTTAATTTATTGAATAAATCACAGGATAGAAAATGCATTTGTTATAAAAAATAAATAAAAATAATTAACAAACAAATTAAATGATGTTAAGTTGCCTAGAATATTGTTAAAATTTGGAGGAAATAAAATAGCGTAAATTAGTTAAGTAATTTTATATAGTGTACATACAGAGTGTCGGTCTTGGTTCCGTCTCGGTCTCGGTATTCTAATACCAGAAAACAGGAAAAATTTACACCCCTAATGAACGAAAAAAAGCGAAATGGTATTTTGATTGATATTTATTGAGTGTTTTAATAAGTTTAATATTAGAAGTATTTTTAAGATTAGATTATATTTAATTATATCCATTATAATCATTTCGTAACCTGATTGAGCTTCTTTATAAATCTCTACAACTTTGATAGTTTCTTAATTAAAAGTTCGACACCAGCACCCCTTGTCTTTTATGTAAGATTGCACGCGAAAACCGAAAATATTCCATTAAAGGATAATTCATTTGTAGTTATGAGATTATCACGAATCCAAGTTTCAGTTACACATATTATATCAAAAGTGTTTAGTAAAATAAAATTCTTAAACTCATTAATTTTATTAATTAGGGACCGACTATTAAAAAGAATAGATTTAAGATCATGTTTAGAGTTGTTATTGTGTGTATTTTGTATTGTACCTTCACAATGAGCGCCTGTTAGATTAATTGGTGAGAAAATAAAGCAAAATTTCAGCAAAAATTCATTTTTGCAAGTCATTTACGGACACGTGGAGGATGAGCTGGACATTTATCGACAATTAATAAGTTTATACAAAATAAATAATGAATAAAAAATATATATGTACATAAATAAAATATTTATAATGAAAAATATCATCAGCTCAATTTTAGTTTATTAGTCCAATAAAAATATATTAGTCTATATTTAATTGTTATAGTATGCTGTATCATAAATGGATATTATGAAACTTTGAAAAAATGTATCCAACTTTCTAATTGTTTAATCGCTAAAATTATAGTAGTAGAACCCATTACCCCCTCCTTTAATATTAATGGAAAATAGTGATAAATGGGTTCTACTATTGCTACAATGTATACAAGCTGAAAGGAATTTTAATTAAATTCCATTACAGCTCTCTGACTTTTCACAATAACCAAAATAATTTTAAACCATTCATTTGAAGAATAGACATTAGTTAACTTTAAACTTTTTGGATAAATATTTTGATTGAACTAATGAACTATAATTGAATACTTGGGCCATAAATCCTTCTTTTAAAAATCAAAAATATTTAATTTACATTTTTTGAATGAATTTCTTCAAAATTTTCAAATTCCAAATTGTCAGTATCAATCGAACAATAACCTTTCCAGTTTTGAAAAATATTTTCAATGAATGAGTGACAGTCTTTTAAAACATTTGGTAAATTGTTTTTGCATTTTTTATCAAGATAGTTCCTGATAACTTCTTTTGTTGATTTATAAAAACTTAAAATATTTTTTTAGAATTTTTTTTAATTTTGGAAGGAAAAATTAATTTTAAGTAAATAATTACTTTATATCCAAAGGAGTATTTTTAACAATTTTAGCAAGTTTTTGGGCATATTTTTGTAGTAATTGGTTGTCCATGAATGCTTTAATGTTAACTCCTCCATCTTCATTAAATGCCTCAAGAAATCGTTGGGAAAGGCAATACCCAACAAATTGATGTCCCGAATTCATGAAAATCTCTTTAATTTCTTCTTTATCTCCCAAAATATCCTCAAATATTTTCTCCCAATTTTTTAAAAGAAATTCCATCTTTTCCTCGATTATTTCGGCAAAATTATTTTGGTATAATTCATTTTTAACCGATTTATTCTTTCCCATATATTTTTTAATATCAGCAAGTTTTGTTTCAAATTTTTTAGTTTTTGCTGTTATATCATTCAAATTTTTATAAAAATTATTAACAGCAACTACATGTTGATCAATAAGAGGAACTGATTGGGAATTTGTGTGACTTTCCTTGTCGGGAATAATTTTATTGGATTGTTCACCGTTGTTTGTTGAAAATGATTGTTGGTGTGTTGCATCACCATGAGGCTTGTTGCTACAAATAACATCAACAAAGTTTTTGTATTGAGTGAGTAGATCAGTAATTATTTTCTTGTAATGCTCATCTCCTTTTGATTTGTGTCCAAAATTTAATCTTAAGTTTATGAAAAAAATTAGTTTTCATCCCAATACCTTTTTCTGTTAAGGGGGAGATGAAGTGGCGATATTTAAAGATTTGAAAAATATTTGCTTTAAGTTATTTTAGAAAAATAAAGTCGACATTTAATTATTTATTTAAATTTCTCAATAACCTTCCTGAAATAAATGCCCTACTAACTAATATGTATGGGTCAGAAACAACAAGGGTCTAAAACAGGTTTCGATATGTGTAGATTTTTCCTCATTTTGTGGTTTTCTAATATGTAGGTCGATGAGGATTATTTTTAAAAATTTTGTGATTTTTTGAAGATTATGAGTAATAAAAAATAAAAATTAATTAATTTACTTGTAATCTAGCGATTTACGATATAAATTAATTTGCCATTCAACAATAAATTTGCATTTTTCAACAACATTTTTACTTAAATCTTTTACAAATTCATAAATTTCATTTTTCTCTTCATCACCAAAATAGCTTTTTTCTTCACAATTTGAACACATAACCTTAAAAATATTCCATTTATTTCCTTTGTGCTTTTTGTATTTTGAAACTATAAAGCTAAAAGCAAATAATGTTTGGTGACATTTTTCTAAGGAATTTTGGATTGTAAATTGTGAATGATCTTCATTTGATTGTTTGATATCTTTATTTTTTAACTGAAAATTTTAAAATTAAAATTTAATAAAAGAATAAAATTTTGATAAAAATGTTTCAAAAGCAATATAAGAATTTTAGAAAATACATGCAAGTATTTGAAGTAAAAATTAAGAATTATTAATTAATTATTTTATAAATTAATTTACTTTTTCAAGTTCAACTTTCATTCCAGAATATACATAATTACTATTTAGATGTTCAAGATTTTTTGAAATAAAATTGAGGACGTAATGAGCCTCCGTGAATGTCATTTTATGTTGAGAATGAACTTGCACTTTGAGGGAAAAAAATTTTAAAAATAATTTGTTTAAAAATTAATTTTATAAAAGATTCTATTTTTAATCTAGTATTTTGGCTGTTCTCAAAATACATGTTTAAGTATATAAAGAATTGATATTAAGCTAATTTTGAGAGTAAAAATCCCTAAAATGCTTGAAATATGTAAGCCTCCAAAATGAACTAAGCATTTTTGATCATTTAAACTTTTTTAACACTTTAATTTAACAAAAATTGTTATTTAGGATTAAAGTTTATGTATGTTTATTAATTTTAAATTAAATCCAAACTAAATGCATTTTTAAATTGCTCCAATTCCTCTGATGTTATTCCAGGAATTTTTGGGGTTTTAATTCCAATCATTTCCATCGTCGCAAGATGGAATCCATCTTGTTGTAATGAATGGGCTTTAAATAATGGCAATTAAAAATATATTATTTTATAAAATAAATGATTAAATCTTTTACCTAAAAGGAGGAAAAGTCCAAACAAGTTAAGGGAATTAAAATACATGTTTCAAATAAAATAATTTAATTTTATGGGCAATGCATATAGGGAAAAATTTAATTAGGTAGCTTTATATAAAGACAAAAGTCTATTGTTAATTTAAATTTAAATAGTCTTATGCACTTAGACTATTGTCTTAAGATAAAAAAAAGTCTAGACAAATCCTGGCTAAGAAGCTTTAACCTTTGTTAAGCCTTCTTTAAAGAGACTTCCAGCAAGGAATTGTCTAGACTTTTTTGACAAAGTCTTATCTAGACTAATTTGCTCGCGCCGAGTCTGAAATTTAGTATTGTAATGATTTTTTTTGAAAATCTTAAAATGTTCTTAACTCTTTATTATAACTTATTTGTGATTTCAACCATGTTTAAACTTATTAAATTTTTTTAAAATAACTTATGGAATTGTGTGATTAGGGTAGAAATAAATACAACATTTAAAAATCTTATTTTAATTATTTTAAATTAATTTAAACTCACTATATTGCAACTTCCATTCATTAGGCCTCTCAAATTTGAAATTTTTCTTATCAATATAACAATATTTTGGCCAGTTTATTGACAATTTAAAATTTATATTTTTTGTGCAATAATATTTATCACCATCTTCATTATTGTTATTACAATAGTTAATTAATTCTTCAACTATGTTATCGCGTATTTTCAAATAAAAACTGGAAATTTATTTTTATTAATTAGAATAATATTTAAAAAAGGAAGAAAATTTTAACAATTTTTCGAGAGTATAAGGCACTTGTGTGCCATCCACCTCCAAACTCCCTAACCCTCCAACTACCAACACCAACCCCTCTATTATTTCCACATAATTCCTCCATAATATAAACTGGTTTTAAAAAATCCCTCAATCTCTCTCCGATTTGATCTTGCGGAAACTTTTCCAAAAAAGTTTTGATAAAACTCCTGCATAAGGGCTCCCGCAAACAGAATTTTGCCGATCACTAATATAAGGTTCCAAAATTTCTACAAAAAATTTTTGTGGACATTTCGATTGACTTTAAAATTTAATTTTAAATTTAATAATCCCTACATTTTATCCAAACTTTTACTTCCCAATATTTCATTCAATTCAGCAGCAAATTCAAGTAAATTTACGTTTGTTTGATTTTTAATTAAATTATCAACATCAGGCTTCCCTTCTTCATTAAAAATAATTATAAAACGATTAACTAAACAATAACTAATATTTAAAATTGAAATTTTATTTAAAGGATTATTTGAAGATTTTAAATTTTTTGTTTGGATTTTTTGTTGCTTTTTCCAATTTTTTACTAAAAATAAAAGTTTTTGCATTATTCGTTGAATATAATCTGACGTAGATTCTTTTATTATTTCTGAGAAATAATCGAAGGATTTCGAATTAAATTGTTTATCTAAATTATAATAAATTAAGAATTATTAGTTTTTAGAGTTTTGCTGTTACGGAGTAAAATAATTATTTTTATATTAGAGGGCCATAATCAGATTTTAAATATTTTGATGAAATAATTAATTCTTAACTTAAAATTTATTTTATACAAAATAACAAAATAGTTTAATTAATTAATGTTGGACACGATCAGTTATTCTTTTCTACAAAGCTCTTATTATTCTCTATATGCTCCACCTCAGGGAAAAATTAACCGGTCGTGTCCAAATCTTATATTAAAATACAATTAAATATCAAATAAATCTATCGGAGGGCATTATTTAAAATAATAATTTAACAGCTGTAAGCTGCCGGATTTATTCTGCCGGCCCCTGAAAGTTTTGGTTTTACATCTAATTTCAATTTTTTACATTTAATTAAAAACATTTATATTCACAAAGATACCATTTGAATCATTCATTTTAAATTTCATCATGATCAATTTATTCAAATTCAATTCATCAACAAATTTATACAAAGAATACTCAAATTTATCCACCAAAACAAAAAGTTCGTCAAAATAATCCTTCAAATTTAACACTTCCTTATCTACTTTCAATTGACAAAAAAATTTAAATTGTTTGGCAAAATTCAAAAAAGAAGTTTTTATTGTTTCCAGCATTTCTTCAAGACCCTTTTTGTTATTATTGGTTTTGTTAAAATCACACAAACTTGTAAAATTGTAAAAAACCTCAAAATTATTTTAAATTATTACATATAAGTGTGTTAATAAATTATAGTGCCATTTAACTCGAAATATTATAAAGTCCATGAATTATTTTTCATGTAATCTAAACTCTCGGAAACTAATTATTTCAAGTTGATTCTGGACTTGTTTTTTAAGTTTGTAATCACTGAAAATCTAAACTCGATTCAAGTGGTTCACTCGATAAAAACCGATTAAGTAAAAACAAATAGTTTGAATTCCTTCATTACAAACCTTAATTAAAAATGTGGCCTTTTGCTCAATTTCTTTAAATTCATTTTCAATATTTTCTGTTGATTTGCCGTTTAATTTATTTTGTAAAATTTCTAAGAATTTTCGTTGCTCATTTATATCTTTTAAATTTAAATTTAAATTAGCTAAGGTAAATTTGAGTAAATAAGCGGCAAGTAAGCATTGTTGGATGTGCAACCGAAGCTGGATATTTGTTTCCAATTTGGAAAATCTTTCTTTAACAATTTCCATTTGATTTATATTTTTTGGATGTTTATTCAACTAAAAATTAATCATATATTACACTCAATAATATTAAACTCAAATCCAAATAGAACCAATAGAAGTATATCCTCCTAATATGTCAACTCAATTCGGTCCCAAGGGATGTATTTAGTGAGAGCTGGCTTTGATTAAAAATTAAATAACAATTTTATATACGGGATATTTAGTCATTTCTGTTTATAAATTCAAAAAATGTTTTTTAAGTTAACAATTTCGAGGGCATTAATTAATTATTGAAATACATATATTAAGGATCTATTTTTGTTTTAAATATTTTGTTAAGAAAAATCGTGAACAAAATCGTTAAATAATAATTTTCAATAAATATTTATTATTATATCCAAACCTCAATTAATTCTTCATTTATTTCATAATTAATTGTTGCTTTATTTAATGCATCTTCTATAATTTTAATATTAAAATCCTTCTCATGGAGTACCTCAGACACTGAAACTAGAATGTGATGAGCTTCAGTAAATGTTAGTTTATGCACATAAAAACGATCAACTATGAATTTTAAGAATTTACAAAAAATCAGAGATTAATTTAAATACGTGCATCATTATATAATTCTGCCCATTCCTTGCTTTCTTTGACCATTCCCGGCATTTCTAACATATTTATTCCCATAAAACTTGAATCAGCGAGGCTAAAGCCATCCTCATAGATATATTTATCTAAAATAATTTAATTATAATATTTTTTCATAATTTGTCGGAGTCTTCGAAGCTCTTCCTTTAACTTACTATGCCTTAAAGCCCATTCTTCTGGACGTTCAAAAGTTATATTCTTCCTTTCTATTGAACAATATCCTGCCCAATCTTTTATTAAGTTGTCTACGTAATTTTTACAAAAATTTTTATATTCGACATCCCCAGTTTTGCATTTTTTATATATTTTTGCTTCAATTTGGATCAGAATTCTTTTATAGTATCTTATAACAATATAGCCGTTATTTTTATTTTGAAGAATTTTAAGATGATTTAAAGAATTTATTAAATCATTTTTAATTTTGGTATAGAAGGATTAAACTATTTGATTTATTTTAATTCTTTAGTTCTTCTATTTGCCCTCTTTTTGAGAGGACATGCCCCCTTTTTGTGATTTGGAAAGGGCACCCTGATCGTGAGTAGTGTTGTCGTTTTAAAATCTTTGGATATCAAGACCCGAATTGAAAAATCTGAATTGAATACCCCTCGTTTACTTCATTCGGTTCAGTTCTGACCGATAACCTTAATTGTGAGCCACTTAAGTCTTTATTAATCACTTCTTGGGGTAGTTACTAACGACTAAATAATTATTTAAATAAACTCTACTCAATATCTACACTTCTTTTGCTCAACATATTTCCAATTATAGCTGCATGTTCAGACATAAATGACTGATTTCCTTTAAAAATTCTTATTTTCGGTTTTCCTTCATCATTAAAGAAAATAATAAATTGTTTAACCAAACAATAGCCAACAAACAGATAACTAATATTTTTAAATTGCTCAACCTTCTCATCTTCATTTCCTTTTATTTTTATAAAGACAGACATATTTTCTATTAAATATTTAAATTTTTCTGACAATTGTTTTAAGTAAATTTTATTTTCTTTATTTGCTAGCTCCTTTAAAATATTTCTGTCCTGAACCAGAAACTTTTCTCTATCCTCTGTAAAAAATAAAAATTAAACAAAAGAATTTTAAGGTTTTTTTCTATTTCCTATTTGTCTAAAGCATTTAATTTCGGTATGGTTAAATGAATTGAACGTTGATAATCAAATAAGGATAAGGTTTTGCCCAGAGGTGGGTAGGTTTTCCTTCCGATTTCCGATTTCAAAAAAAAATTTGATTTCCGGGTTCCGACATTTGAGCCAGTTCCGATTTCCGACACCTCTGACTGTTCCGACCAACTTATGGTTTTGCCTCCCCCCCCCAGACCCTACAAACATTGTGATTAGTTGTTTTCTAAAACTATTTCCAGCCTTTATAAATTTCCCTAACCCTTTAATTAATAATTCCAATTTACTTTTATTCATTCTCTCCACTACTTCACTAATTAAATTAATTTTATCTAAATTTTCATTCATTTTTTTAATAAATTTTTGAAATTCATAAACTTTTTCCCCAACTTTGTTTAAATATTTTTTTATATTTTGTGAATTATTTTTAGTCTCTTTAATAAGTTTATCGTTAAAGAAAATTTCAACGTTTTCGTAAGCCTTTTGAATATTTCTTATAATATTGTTTATTAGTTCTAATTTAATCTAAATTATTTTATAATATTTAAAAATATTTTTAAAATAATATTTAATTATGGAAGGATTGTGTACAGGCTTATAAAAATTGAATAGATTTTTGATGGAAACAATTATTTGCTCAACATGAATTTATTTTTAAAAAAATATTTATTTATTGTAGAAAAGGGAGATTCACCTGGCTAGCATTTAAAATGCTTACTAGGCAGAGCTCCGTAGCTCAGTCGGTGGATCACATGTACGCGAAGGCGCTTAGTAATAATTTCCACGAGTTTTTCTATCTCTTTTATATATTATATCTCATCCAAACTCCCAAATTTAGGGACACGAATATAAGCGATGAAAAATAAAAGCATTTGTGTCTTATTAGAGAAATTGGGGTAGTATATACAAGCACTAATTTGTGACTGAGATTGTCGGTTTCACCGGATTCTTCAGTTAATCGAACCGGTTAACTGAAGAGTTTTTTGTCTTGTTAGGAGTTTTTGTTAATAATCCTGTCATTTCGACAACCCGGACCGAAAATTCTTAGTTTTTCGATCAGTTCGTTTATTGACAAAAATCTTAAACTATTTTAATCTATTTTTTCTACAAAAATCTTAAACATTCAGTGAAGAATATCGAGTATTTTCTCCAACTTTTAAAAAGTTTTTATTAGTGTTGGTCACGGTACCGTATTACGGCGGTATTTTTCGGTAATACCGCGGTATTTTTACCGAAATACCGATACCGATACCGAAAAATCGCGTTTGACCAACACTAGTTTTTTTTTCCAATTAAATTTCTAATAATTAAATTCCAAACTTGCCAACCTCAATATTTTCATTATAATATTTATTTTTAAAATCACATTCTGTTCGAAAATTTCCAATTATTTCAACAATAAAATTAACAGATTTATTATCACTTTTATTCCATGTTTGCAATGTATTATTTAAATTTTTGAGAGAATCTTTCTGATTTTCATTGCTGTTTATATTAAATAATGTAAACTTTAATATTTTTGTAGTAAATAAACATTTTTTTATATTTTCTTTTAATTCATTATTTGTTTTAAAACCGTTAGAATTTATTTTTAGTTCTTCTAAATTATTGAAATTGGATGGTTTTTCTAACTGTAAATTGTTAAAAGTTAATTTTATAAATTTTAATTTAATTTTTGGCTGTAGTATAGTATACCGGTGGAAAGGTTTCGATATAAGACACATACCATTCGATTGGTCTCAACGAGCCAATTCGAACGGTACCACTCTTTTTTCCGGAGATGCCTGTTGAACGAGATAAAGGTCCCTGCAAATCGAAAAACCATAGGGGGGGGGGAGTAATTTACCTACATTATATTATTTACATTGCATTCCAAAAATGTGTTTACTCCCAATATGGTTTTTCGATTTTATGGACATATATCTCGGTCGAAAAACATCTCCTGAAAAAAAAGAGTGGTAAAATTCGACTCAGCTTGCCGAAACGAATCGAATGGTGTGTCTTATATCGAAACCTTTCCACCGGTATACTATACTATAACCAATTTTATTACTTTTTTCAACGAATTATAAAAATATTTGTTTATTTTAATTTTTGTTATTTTTTCGTTTAATTGTCTGAGAAATTCTTCGTTAATTGTTATTTCTTTAATATTTATTGTTTTGGAGAGAATTGTTATAAAATGATGGGCTTCAGTAAATGTTAGTTTGTGCAAATAAAATGAGGAAGCTGAAAAATGTTTTTGTTATTACTGATTTTTTAATTTTTTTTTAAATGTCTACATTGTTACCCGTCCCTATTTACCTTCGAGTAAAGGGGGAAATGGGAGACCATTTTGTTCCCTTTCCGCTAAATTACCCCCCCCCCCTCTCCGTTTTTTTGGTTTTTACCCTCCCAGACAATTCAGTTAACACCCACTAACTTACATGTTTCTTCGTAAAAACTCTCCCATTTATCAGTATCCATTCCAGGCATTTCTCTCATTTTCAACTGTAAATCATCCAGTTTAGATTGAAAGAAGCCGGAATCTTCTATTTCTTCTTCTAAATTATATTAAATTATTTTTTAATTATTCTAGCTTTAAAATTTTTAAAATTTTTGTGAATTCCATGTAATTTTTATTGATATAATAATTTTTAATTTAAATTTACCATTAATCAAATCCAAAGCAATTTTGCTTAAATTTATTTGTTCAAACAATTTCAATTTAAATTTTTTCCCCGTCAAAAAAGCATAACCTTTTTTCAATTTTCTTTTCATCCAATTCATTATTTTAACAACTCCTTTACCATAACCATAAGTTATTGTCATTTTTGGATGATAAATATCATAAACTTCCTTTTCTGTTATTTCATCCAAATTTTTATTTCTTTCATTTAATCTTTTAATTGAACGATCAAAAATTAATCCAATCATTTCTTTGTTTCTAATTGTATCTGTAGACCAAAAATTTTCAAAAAATTCACTTCCAAAGTGATTAGCAGTTATATAACCTATTCCAAATTTGAGAAGTTTTGTTGAAGGATTAAACAAAATTCCAATAATTTTTTTAAATAAACTTGATAATTTAATAAAATGTGAGGGAATTGAGGTTAGTAGAAAACCAAAAAGGCTTAAAACAGCTCCAATCCCCATTGCGTTGATTGTCATTGAGGAATTTTTTTCGATATCCATTGAAGCACTAACCTGAAAAATAAAAATATTTTTATTTTAGGGTTGCAGTTTTCGAGTCTGGCCGACGGTCGAGGCATTTTTATCGGGCTTGTTTTTATTAAGTCAGGACTGTGCGAGTCAGTTCCAGGTCTAACATTATTAAGTCGGGCTTGTGCGAGTCACATACGTGCTTAATGTGTCTTACGCTGACTCGATCTTTCGGTCCGAGTCGGTCCATTTTGGCAACCCTAATTACATTATATTTTGGATTTTGGCTCCCATGTTTTACCAAAAATTTCTCCAAATCCTTCATTTTCCGACTTAGACGAATCGAGGATATTCAAAAATAAATTTATTTACTTCTTGAATAAATTATATGTAAATAATAACCTTATGTTTAATATATTTACTGAAAGCAACATTTCTTTCCTCGTTAGTAATTCCCATTCCCGATGTTAAAGAATGAGGTTTATTAATCACAAATAATTTTTGAACAATTTCTTTACATATTTGTTTGTTTTTAGAATTTTCCTCAATTCTATGTTCCAAAACAAGTTGTTCAATACTCGGTTTTGGAAAGAAGCCTTTCTTGTATTTATAATATACCCCAGCACGTAACAAATCTTTCATTACAGAATATTCAAAAGGCAAAATTGCACTAGCTGTAGATGAAGCAATCTAAATGTGAATAGATTATCTCAAAACAAAATTCCCTTTTTTACCTCATTCGAAAGAATATCTAATCCCAACATATCCCAATTCGTATCCATTTGTATCAAATTATCCAACAAAGCCCCTCCAATAGCTATTTTCTCTACCTTCCAAGAATCTCTAAGATTATTCAAAAATCCTTCCAAAGTTGTTGGGGTAAAATTTCCTCCCTCAATCATTATCAAAAATCTTTGAAGAAATAACGAGTCAGCAATGTTAACAAATAAATTTGTTATAACAGAATATAATATGACAGATAAAGGAATATATAATGGTGGACAAGAAATTGCTACAATTGCTAATAATGGAGGCCAAACAAAAACATCCAAAATTATGCTAATTAGGCCAGAGCCTGCTAAATTTATTAACATGCTGTTTGCTATTTCTTTTGTTACTTCCTTGGCGTTATAGACAGAAAGGAGAATTTGAGCTCCGAGTCGACCACGAAATTCTTTATGCATTTCATCATCATCTTCTGTAAATTTGTTGAAATAAAAAATCAAAATTTAAATATGTATATTGGACTGTTAAATTTAGCAAGTCAAGTCCCAAATCATCTCAACCAAAACAAAATTATGATTATTTTTTATTAAACATTTCGGTTTATTAATTGGTTTAGGAAAATTTATCCCACCTTTGGGATCGGTAATCGGAACGGCACATTATCTGACATTCTCTTACATATACATATGGTTAATATTAATTCAATTGCTCGAAACTTGCCTTTAATTTCTTCAGAAATAACAATCTTAATAGCTTCTTTTAACTTATAAAACCATCTCATGTTTTTATCAATATTCAAAAGTTCCTTTTTAAATTTAAAATAAACTTCGGAATCAAATTTTTCTTTATTTTCATTTTTATTTATTTTAGAGTTTATCCACTCCGATGCTTCATTAAATATATTTTTTTGTTTATTTTTAAATTCATTATTGAGATAATTTAATGAATTAATTATTTTGTTATATTCAACTTTATTCTTTTTTAAATTAATTTTGATCTATTAAAAAATAATTAATTAGTTAATAATTAATTAAAATTACAACTTTATTTTTTCTTCTATAATTTTTTCTCTTCTCCAATATTTTTTTAATTTCTTTAAATTCTTTATATAAAAATTCTACAGAATTTTCTCTCAATTTTCTTTTCTCATTTTTTATAAAATTATCTGGATTTTTAAAATATTCAACAATTTCCTCGTATTCTTGTCCTCCAATCTTTTCAAAACGTTTATTTGAGGGCTTTATTTTAACGTTATAAACGACATTTTGGAGAAAATCGAAAGGATGAATTTTAATTTTTGCTAGATTTTCGAAGATTTTCTCATCAATTTCCACTTTAATCTCTTCATCTAATCGTTTTTGCCCATCCTCCTCAAATTTTCTTATGTAGCCTAAAATTATGTAGATTAATTTTAATTATTATAAAGTGGAGTGAAAGTCATAATAATAATTAATTTGACAACTTTATGAACAGTTTGAGGTTATTTTCCAGCGGTGGATGCCGAGCATCTTGGACGGATTGCGAAGTAAGTCACTTCCGTAAGGCACTTCCGTCCATGAAGGTTTAAGTAGGTTAGATAGACCCAGAAGGTTAAGATCCGTGACTTTTTAGGCACACAGCCGCAAACAGCGCTATCTGTTATAATCGGTTGTGTCCAAACCTACACATTTTTAACTGGTCATAATTTTTATAATCATTTTTTGTGTTAGTTTTTGTGTTAGTCATAATTTGTGTTAGAAGAACTCTTATTTTCTAAAAATAATTTATACTTTTAAATTCTTCAATTCGTTTTTCCTTCAATTTTATATCAGGCAATTTATCCAACTCTTCTATTAAATTATCTTCTAGCTTCTTTGATTTTTCAGAAATTTCTATTGAAATTTTCTGTTCAATTGAAGTTTTTCCCAGCTTTTCTAAAGACTTTAATTTCTCAAAATTTTGATCCAAAATTTGTTCAATTTCTTCAAATTCTTCTTTTTTTGTTATATTTTTCTTATCAATCAAATCCTCATTTTTAGTTTTTTTAATTAAATTTTTAGTAAATAACCTCACAACCCACAAATTTTCCAACCAAATTTTTCTTTCAATACTTTTAATTATTTTCCATAAATGTGAACATATTTTATCAAAAATACGTTTTTCTGTCTTTTTTATTAATTTAAGACGTTTTTTCTCTAAATCAATCTGAATTTTTAATATATTTGACCAGTCAAGATATACTTGTTCTCCTTCCCCAAATCCATTTTTCCCCTTATAGATTGCTTCTGAAAATAAGAAAAAATACATATTTGAATTTATTATTTAAACTAGAGATAGGATATTTTAAAACCTTGACCTAATCTTGATACTTGATTTCGGTTGAGGACCTTGACCAGATTCTTGGCCTTGAATCAAAGAAGAATCAAGGTCAAGGGAAAATCAAGTGACTCCGAAAAATGCTTTATCTTGACTCTAAATTAGGAGAAATTAAGATCTGGATTTAGATATTGTTTTTCTTCATTTATAGGATTTTTGGATCCAGGTCCAGGCCCATCTCTGATTAAAACCAAGAATTGAAGTAAAAGATTAATTATTATTTAAATACATAGTATGTTTTATATTCTCGGTTCTAAATTTTTGAAAGCTAAGTTTTAAAAGTTTTAAGTTCTCATTTAAAATTGTTTTAAGATCCTATCAAATACCTAAAATCGCAAATGTCCCCAAATGGGCATTTCCTTCCCCCTCCTCAACTTCAACATGTCTTTCTTCGCTTTTAGGCATTTTTTCTTCATTTTCTTCTTCCTCCTTTTTATTAAAAAATATTATTTTTTCTTCTCCACTTTTTTTTTCTAATTCTTCCTTCATAACAGTAGTCCCTTCTCGAAAAAGAAATGCCCAAACAAAAATATCTTTTTCCAAAGAAAATTCAACAAAACATTCTTCTTCTTCTTCTTCATCCTCTCCTTCTTCCAATTCTTTTAAAATAAATTTATTATTTATTTTTAACCAAATATAAACATATTCCAAAATTTTGTTAATTGTTTTATTTTCAGAAATAAATTGTTTTGTTCTCAAATCTTTTTTAACTTTTCCCCTAATAATTTCTGGAAGAAAAAATAAATTTTTCTTGACAAGTTTTGAGGCGTATTCTGATGAAATAAATTCTTTGACATTTTTTATTCTTTAAAAAAATAAATAAAAATATTTTTAATTATTATTTTTTTAATTTTTAATTTTACTTGGATTGTTTTTGAGAATTTTCTTCTTCTAAAGATTTTTTAAATTTTGATGATTTTCTAAAATTTTCAATAAATTCTGTTTGTTCTTTTGTTTTGTTTAATTCAACAATTAATACACAATTAATTACAAAAAATAAAAATAATTTAAATTTAAACATCTACTAAAATAAAAAATTAAATTTTAAATGAAAATTTTCAAAAGAGCTCTTTTAGGCTGGAGTATGCTTGTAATAATACCTTAAGAATTTTTAAAACGTCCAGCGTTGGTTATAGATAACCAAATTATAAAGTTGCTATAATAATTTTTTAAATCTAATGAATTAAATTTTCGGCATTTTTAATAAATTTAAATTAAAAATTATTTTATAAACAAAAAATTATAAACGATAAATGCATAGAGAATAATTCATACATAGAGAATGATTCAATAAATTCAATATTGAATTAATTTATTGAATTTATTAATTATTCAGCCAGTAAGCAATGCTTAATAATGTCTATTAATAATGTCTAGAGACACCCCAGACTCCTGGTCTTGAGTCTTGACTCAAGGCTTTTCTTGGATTTTTTCGGTCTTGGTCTTGGGGTGAAGTTTTGCTCTTGGATCCTGGTCTTGAGTCTCGGTAAATTTTTGTTCTTGGAAGTCTCTAATAATGTCTATTAAATTTTTAAATTTTTTTATTAACTTAGAATGTTGAAATTAAATTTGAAGTTAAAAATGTTTGGTTTTTATTTTTGATAAAGATATTTAAATTAAAAATTAAATTTTGAAATTAAAAATTTGTGAAGATTTTTCTTTAAATAAATTACCTGTTCGGTTCTGGATATACAAAAAATTTCCAAAAACAGACAACCCTAATTTGGAATATAAGAAAAAATAAAATAATAAAAAATATTTTCTTTTTCCAATTTATGTCTAACATTTTTGACTTTTAAAATTTATTTCCTTGTCTATCAAAGTGTTATGTAATTCTCAATAATCTCTAATAAAAAATACACTTTAAATAAATAACAAATGTCGAAATAAATAAATTAATTTTTTGTAGAATTATATCCTAAAGCTTGGGGGGATCTTCTTGGAATCACGTGAAGAGTAAACAAAAGTTTATTTATTATTAAAAGTTTTTATTTTATTAAAAAATGTGTGTATTCAGTAACTGTTTGGATGTAATTATATTTATTATTAATTAATTATACAAAATAAAATTAAAAAAGATTTAATTTATTTTTTTGATTATTCCTCAAAATATTTTTAATTAACAGGAATTTGTCTATATTTTTATTTAAATTATTTTTAGAAATATTTTTGACAGTAATTGCACTTGCTACAGAATTTGTTTTTAATTTAAATAACTTTATGAAAAGCTTGTCTATATTCTTGGCCTTAAAAAAATAAAATTTCAGTTAAAAAAATTTTTAAAAAATATTTTTTGATAAAATAATATACATATATTTTGTCTTTTTTTTGTTAAAATCACATCTACTCTAACTTCTTTAAAATATAATATTTTCAATAAAATTTTATTATTTTTCAAATTCTTTAGTAAATAAATGTACAAAGAAAGCCTTCGTACAAAAGAAAAAAAGATTTAAATTAATCCTTAATTCAATCAAACAGCTAGCCAATGTCCATTGTTTGTTCGCGAGTAAAGCTTTTTATTTATTATATTTACAAAAATGCTGTAAAATTAGTCAATTAATTTAAATTAATTGTAAAAAACATTTTTGTTTATATTAATTGATGAAAAAACATTATGGCGAATAATTTGCGATTTATAGATCATTTTATTTATTTTAGCATTTATATTTATATCCTACTTATATCCAATTATATCCTACTATATGTATCAGGGATGTCACGGGTTGAAAAAAATGTCGGGTCGGGTTTTAAAATTTTCTTCGTATAGGATTTCGGGTTTCAAGTCAAAAAAAGTCCTCATATCGGTCATCGAGTTAGTTAAAAGTTTGAACATGAATCCAGATCTTTTGGAGCGGTTGTGGGATATCAGTGTTTTAGTTATTATTAAGTGTATATCCGATAATATAGGAATAAATTTGGATTTGTAACTAATTAAATATAATAAACTATCAAATCTTTTAATAAACAAATTTTATTTTTAATTAATTTAAAATATTTACAGACTTTAATTTTTATTTATTTTCTAGATCATGTATATCCGTAAATTATTATCTTTTATGATGCAGTTTTTTGAAATTATTACCAATCATAGACGCCGTAAACATAAATTACTTACAATAAAACATAATCACTTAAATCCTAAACGTTTTCTAAATAAATTTATTCCCGTAACTGAATGGCTTCCAAAATATAGTTTTCAAAATTATTTTTCTTTAATTAAATTATTTTAGAATGGCGACACTCTTTTTTCGTTGATTTATGTGCTGGTCTTACTGCTGCCGTATTTTCTATCCCTACAGGTAGTTCAGATTTCAGAACACGATTAAGTGTCAAAATTTGATTAATTACCCCCTCTAGCAAAATGTCAAAAAAATATCCAGGTTATGTAGTCACGAAAACACGGTTCTGTAACTAAAAATTAAAAAAAGGCTCTTCTCCGGATTACTTCTCCAGATTACTCATCCAATCAAATTTTTAGATATCCGGTTAATTATTTTAGTACCATAAAATCTACTGGAATAGAGGGATCTTATCACTCAGAGTTAGGTTACACTTGCATAATACCGGAACATTGATCTAAAATGAAGAACCGTGTACTTAAAAATGTGATTGGACTCGTAAAAGTCGATTGGACTCGTGAAGGTGACATTTGATGTGCAATCTGGACATGAGCCAAATTTTATAATACTCGAAGTATTTATTTAATACACTTTTTTCTTTCTATCAAACACGAATATATTTTTAAGGGATTGCACATGCCGGTATTTGTGGTGTTGCTCCAGTTTATGTAATAAAATTTTTAAATAATTTTTATCAATTAATTTCTAAAATAATTAAGGGTCTATACACTGTTATTTTCCCAACATTTTTCTATATGCTTTTTGGCCATTCCCGACATAATTCCCTCGGCGCTTTTGCAATACTATCTTTAATAACTAGAGCAGCTATTGAAAAAGTTGATCAAATACTTATTAATGATAGGTTAGAAAATTAGAAAAATTTTTTTTAATAAATTAAAAAGGAATGGAGGTGCTAGTCCCATTTATGATTATTCAACGATATCTCCTTCGCCAACATCTGACGATAACGAAACTATTAGGATTATGAACAGTACTTTCTTTGACGGAGAAGATCAATTGTTGATTGATGAGGTAATTAATAAATATACGTATGTAAAAATCCTTTGAGGTTTCATTTAAAATTCTCAAATTAACAATCCTAACAAATAATTTCCTTAGAATAAAATATCATAAATTATTTTTATTTAAATTGAAATCATGATAATTTTTTTTTAAAAAAGTGGCACTCCGTGAGAGAGCAATGCTTGTAAATATAAGATTTACTCGTACTCCGTACATGCATTAATTTTTTATCTCGTACACTTGTATGGGTAAATCTTATGACACGAGTTTCCAAACGCTTCCGGAAACTCCTAAACTATTAGAAAAATATTTTTAATTAAAAGAGCACATTAAACACATCCTCAATTATTGCTGAATTAAATATTTCCTCTTCTGATGAGAATATTATTGACAATAATAATCACAATAATCCATTACTTAGCGACCCTATACAACTTTCTGTTCCAAAATTAATTCAAAACAATACAAATATTACTGTTGGAGAAATTGGTAAAAGATTAAGTGAAATTAAGCCAATACATATTGCTACTTTAATTTTATTTTTGGGTGGAATTTTTCAGGTGTTCTTCAAAGAAATTTGCCAAAATAAATAAATATTTTAGGTAATTATGGGTATATTTCGTTTGGATTTTCTTTCATGCTATTTCTCTGAACAAGTTATGACTGGATTTGTTTTGGGAGGATGTGTACATGGTAATACTTATATATAACATTTGCAGATATAGTATATAGATAGGCCTCCGTATGTATTATTAAAGATTAGCACTTACATTTTTAAGAATAGTGTCACATTTCCTGTGGTAGTTTTAAAATTGTTGACCATTAGAGGTGGGTCGGAACTGTCAGTGGTATCGAAAATCGGAACTGTCGGAAATCGGAACTGGCTCAAAAGTCGGAAATCGGAAGGAAAAAAACGCCGGAAATCGGAATTACGACCCACCTCTGTTGCCCCAGTAATCTTGCGTTACTAATATATTATAGGTGGTAAAGAAATAGGTAGTAAAGTAAAAGTCTTGTTATTTATCATTGGACAATGATTCGTAACATTTATAGCAATTCGTTACTTAGATTACCTATTCGTGCCATTAATAGGCAATCCTACATATTTCATCCTCCTTTCATACTTAATATTTCTATAATTTTCCAGTATTTTTCTCACAACTCGGGGACCTATTGGGCATCCAGCATTTATTGCCTCCTCGATCTGGACGTGGATATTTATATACTGTATTTATATTAATTCTATTTTTTATTAAAATTAAATTTTTAAGCGTGTTTTTGATATAATTGATCATTTAAAGTTTACAAATATCCAGACAATGATAATAAGTATTTGTTCTATTTTCTTTCTTCTTTTTACTCAACAAATTTTTGAAGTAATTAATAAAATTTAAATATTCCTTTCTCACTAAAAAATTAATTTTTTAGCCATGGCTAGCAGATGCTTTTGAGTTTCCAATACCTTATGAACTTTTATTGGTAATTATCGGAATAACTGCAACAAATTTTGGAGATCTTTCTAATAGGCATAATATTACTGTTGTTGGAAATATACCAACAAAGTAAATTTATTATGTTCTAGTAAATCTTCTTTCCCTCAACATTTAGGGGGGAAACCCCGTCCCCCGAAACAAAAAACACCGAACGAACCTCGAAGGCTTTACCTCGACAAAACTTGATCCCCGACTCCCACCCCCGTACGGGCAAAACCCCAACTTGATCACCGAAACCCAGACTATTTTTTGGCAAAACCCCCGACCCAAACCCCGAAGGTTTTACCCCGGAAAACCCCGAAACCCGACACTTCCTCCCCCGAAGCTCGGGGTGCTACCCTATTTTAAGCATAGTTTTTAAGTTTTCCAACTCCATCAATTCCACATTTTGAATTAATTCCTTTTGTTTTTATTGATGCTATCAGCATTGCAGTAACTGCTGTTGCTATTCATCTGACAGTTATTCGAATTGTTGAGAATAAATATCATTATGTTATTAATAGTTGTCAAGTTAATTTATTCTTTAAAATAATTTTTTTATAAAAATTATTTTTTAAAAAGGAATTATATTCTCTTGGTTTCTCCGGTATTTGTTCTTCAATTTTTCCAGTATTTCCAATTACTTCTATTTTTGCAAGAACTCTTATTGGTGATGCTGATGTAAATATTACACAGGTATTTCTGTCTAAGAGAGGTGAATCGGAAATGACGGAGGTGTCGGAAATCGGAAATTGCTCAAAAGTCGGAAATCGGAATTCCGATTCACCTCTGTTATTCACACATTTAGAGAGAATACTTAAAAATTTAAATCCACCAAAATAAATTGAATGAACTACCATTTTTAGATTTGTAGATACTCGAAATGATGACAAGCACTACTTTAAATTAGGTTATTGCTTAGCCCCCTCCCACCTCCTCACTACCAAGTATCTAGCAAAGACCAACAAATAAAAAACGTATCTTAGATTTTACTAATTTTGAGGGTATTTAAATTTAGAATTTCTTTTATTGCCAATACGAATTAAATATTAAAGAAAAAATTTAAAAATTTTTTTAAACGAATTATTAAAATTTTATTTTAATAAAATTATTAAAAATTTATTTGTTTAACAAGCAAACAATGGAAACCTTTAATTCTACATAAAATTAAAATAAAAACCTTATTTAGATGACAACATTCTTTTCAACTTTATCTCTTTTAACAGTAATTTTATATATAGGCCCAGCATTAGAATATTTACCTAAGGTGATTTTTCATATTATTTTGAAAAAATTACTTTAAATTTAGTGTATTTTGGCTTCAATTATTGTAATTTCAGAATTTCTTTATTAAATAATTGCTAAAAAAATTTATACATTAGATAGTCTCAGCCTGCACTTCTTTAAATAAATTTGGAGAATTACGCCAATTATGGCCTCTTTTCAAAATTGATTTTGTTAAAAAAAAATTTTTTTAATTTTAATTATCTATTTAATAATCTTAGGCGATTTTTATTGTCAGTTTCCTCCTCACAGTTTGTTACGATATGGCAGAGGGGTTAACGCTTTCAGCGCTTTTTAGTGCCTTTACTATTGTTTTCCGTGATCAATGGTGAGGAATATTAAAAATTTTGGAAAAAATTTTTGGAATGAAAACTCTTTAGGCCAAAATGGCACTTTTTAACTCACGATGAAGAATTAAATGAATATAAGGAAGCTGAAAGAAAACAGCAATTTTTACAACACCAAATAGCTGCTGGGGGGCATGCTTTTATTATACGTTATGATGCTCCTTTGATATTTACAAGTGTACATAAATTTAATAAAGTTTAAAAGAAAAAATATTTAATTAATTTATAAAATAATTTTCAAAAAAAGGTTTTAATTCAAAGTGCAAAGAAAAGAAAAATTCAATTAAATTTGTGTAGAACATATTCGGCAACAGAAAAATTAGTTTTGGCTAATTATGAAAATACTTTAATTATTGACTGTTCGGGATTTCCTTATGTTGATTTCCTTGGACTTCAAACGTTAAAAAAGGTATTTTAAATGATAGGCTAGTTGATTGTTGGATTTTTAAATTTTGAGGTTTATAAAGACTTTTCTGCACAAAATGTGGTTGTTAAATTCGCTGCTCCAAAAGGTTAAAATAATTTTATAAATTGTATGGAGGAATACTCCTCGAGTTAAATTTTGCTGACATTAGATAACTATTACGACCCTGCTACGTATAGGAAGATAACAGAAAGTTTAGACACGAAGAAAATACAAAGGAGCTGAAGATTGGGGTAGGAATAAGGATAAGATTCAGACACTCGAACTAACTATTGGGTGCTTTTATTCTAAACTCTTTAAGGGCTGTCGCCCATACACAACATTCCCAAGGGACCGAGTAGAAGGATTTCTGTAATGGAATTTACTTCCACAAAAAACATTTTTATAAGAGTAATAAGTAATTCGGTTTTAGCAATTTTAAAGCTACCGGAACTTCTGTTTTAGTTTAATTTTAAAGCAAAACCTTTAGATTGTTCTTAATTTTTATTTTAGCTCAATTGTTGAGAATGTTTTGTGAAAGTGATTTTTATTTGACAGTTCCTAAAGAAAATGTATTTAAAACTGTCAAGTAATTTACTCTTATTTTCTAATTTTTTATTCAAAATTTAGACAAGCAGTTAGTTCTTGTGTTTATAACGATGAAAATTCACGAATGGATGATGAGGAAATTTTTAGTATTGAATCTTTAAATAATATTTAGTTGATAAATATAAAATATGTATTATTAGAAATAAAACAAAAAGTTATTTGATTGAAATTTGAATTTATTTGAATTATCGAAATTATTGAAATTATTTAAGAAATAGTTGGAAAAGTATGGCCCATGGGACTTTATTTTAGGAAATACAGTAGATTAACTCATCAACTAATTTTTTTAAAGATGAATTAATTTTTAATAAATTCGTTCCAACTAATTTTTGTCTTTTCTTTCTTATTTCTCCTTTTTTCTGCCTGTTTTTCTTCTTTTATTCCGGAAATATCACGTTTTTGATAAATTTCATATTTTTTAGGGTTCTTCTGAAAATTTAATATTTAATTATTTTTAGTACTATGTGTCTTACATTTTTTCACACACGGAATCATTGTGGGAACTTTAAAATATTTTCGAGTAATTCGCACAGGCCCAATTTTTTCTTGTATTAGGACACAAGTTTGAGAAAAGTACGAACACTGGTACGAGCTTTCAAACATTACACGGATCTTACTAAGGAAAAATTTGGCGACCCTTTGGGTTGAGTAAATTGTACTGTAGGATTGGTGTACATTAAATAGAGGTTAACTTCTAGGAGGTTTTTAAGTTGAGAATTATTTAATTTTGGTATATCTTAAATTGTGATATGAGTACATTTATATACCTAAAGGGAAAGAGGGAAAAAAATAAAATAAAAAAAAATAAAATAAAAAAATCAAATAAAATAAAAAAACAATAAATTACCTGAGGTATATCTTCAATATTTAGTGGGATTTTAATAAAATTATTTAATTCATCTTGATTTAAATTTAAAGAATTTTTTTGCTTAGTTTCATTAATTATACTTTCATTAGACAACTCAATTATTTTATTACATTTTTCAATAATTGTTTGAGTATTTGTAAATGTTTGATAAAAATTATTATTGAAACTGTTATTTGATATATTTGAATATTGACGTGCATAAGAGTTTACTGAAAATTAGCAATTTAAAAAAATCCTAAATACTCATTTATTACTACATATGTTCATGCTTATCTCTTAGATTCTGAAATTTCACTTACCAATATTAATTGGATTTATTTCTGGACAATCAGAATTGTCTGCCTTGAAAATTGATCCAATCCTGTTAAATAAAAAATTTATAAAATTTTTATTTTAGTACGAAAATTTTTAATAAAATCGCTGATATCCTTTAAAAAAGCAAAAATCCAAACATTTTTTCTAAATTATTTTGTCGAATATAAACAGCATTCAACCAACTTCCCTCTCTATTTATATTTAAAAATTGTTTATTAATTGTTAAAATTAAATTTTCTTGTTTTTGTTGTTCCTCTATATTATTTTCATTATCCTTTAAATTTATTCCAACTAACCAAACAGTCCAATGCTCTTCAGTACCACTAAATTAATTGAATAATACATTTATTTATTTAAATCGTGTTTCGCAAACTTAATTTTTTAAGTTTGTTCTTAAATTAATTTTTTCCCAACTGTGTTTTATATGTTTTACAAACCTTGTTTTTTTCTAATACTATTTGTCTTTAACATTATTTTAAGTTTGTTTTAAGAATAAACTTTGTTTTTGTTTAGAAGTTTTTAAATATATGATATATAATTAATTAAATAATATGTTTCGCAAACTTAATTTTTAAGTTTGTTCTTATACATATGTTCCCAAACTTGTTTTTAGTTGTTTTTACAAACTTTGTTTTTTCTAATATTTGTCTCAAACATTGTTTTAATTTCGTTTTAAAAATAAACTTTGTTTTTGTTTAAAATTTTTCACAAAAAAGCTTAAACTTGTTTGTCTCTAACCATGTTTTCTTAAACCTTATTTCACAAAAACTTACTTTATTCTCTCACATTTTCTTTCTTTTTCAAATCCAGAAATTGTATGATATTCCTCTAATTTTATTTTTTCTCCATTAATTTTTTCTGCCCACTCTTTAAGCATTAATCTTAATTTAGTTTTTAACAATCCACACTTAAAATTTCCAAAATAATTGTTTATATTTTCTTTTGTCTTAATAGGCACTGTGCAAATAACCAAAATAAAATGTTTGTAAATTGATTTATAATTTATTTTTTTAAATATTGTCTTTTGCCACCATTCTTTTGTTAAATTATTGTGGTTTAAGTTTTTAAAATGGTCAGAAGCTTTTTTTGTTTCTCTCAAAATAATGCTTTTCGTATATTCGTTAATATTAAATGCAACATTTTGTTCAGGAAATTTAGGTGAAATTATAGGCATTATTGATGGCTGATTTTCATTTTTGATATTTGATAAATACCAAGAATCAATTAAATAACTATTTTTATTGTTTAAATATTTTGTCAGTAATTCTTGACTAGTTAAAGCCTCATGCAAAACAGGAAATGGCCATTGCCTTAAAATAGAATTTATGTTTTTTAATAATTAAAAATAAAAATAAACATAGTAAAACAAATTATTAAATAAAAACACAAATTTGATCAAAACTAACATATGAAATTAATAAAAACATTTAATACAGAATTGCAAAACTTTAGATAAAACATAAATAAAACAAAACATTAAACAAACAAACATAACTTTCAATAAAACATTAAAGCAAAACAAACAAAACATTCAAACAAAACATTTAAGAAATATTAAAGAAAAACAAACAAAACATTCAAACAAAACATCTAAGAAATATTAAAGAAAAACAAACAAAACATTTAATCAAACATCTAAGAAATATTAAAGCAAAATTATCAAAACGTTCAAAACATCTAAAAAATATTTAAAATAAACAAAACATTCAAACAAAACATCTAAGAATATTTAAAATAAACAAAACATTCAAACAAAACATCTAAAAAATATTTAAAATAAACAAAACATTCAAACAAAACATCTAAGAAATATTAAAGAAAAACAAACAAAACATTCAAACAAAACATCTATTAAATATTAAGAAAAACGAACAAAACATTTAAACAAACATCTAAGAAAAATTAAAGAAAAACGAACAAAACATTCAAACAAAACGTCTAAGAAATATTAAAGAAAAACGAACAAAACATTAAACAAAACATCAAGCAAAACAAACAAAACATTTAGAAACACATCTAAAAACAATCAAAACATTCAAACAAAACATCTAAAAAATATTTAAAATAAACAAAACATTCAAACAAAACATCTAAGAAATATTAAAGAAAAACACACAAAACATTCAAACAAAACATCTATTAAATATTAAGAAAAACGAACAAAACATTTAAACAAACATCTAAGAAAAATTAAAGAAAAACGAACAAAACATTCAAACAAAACGTCTAAGAAATATTAAAGAAAACGAACAAAACATTAAACAAAACATCAAGCAAAACAAACAAAGCATTTAGAAAAACTAAAAAACATTCAACAAAACATTAAAGCAAAACGATCAAAACATTCAAACAAAACATCAAAAAAATATTTAAAATAAACAAAACATTCAACAAAACATTCAAAAACATTAAGTAAAACAAACAAACATTAATAGAAGCATGAAGCAAAACAATCAACGAATTTAACAAACATTAGAAACAAACATAACGCTCAACAAAACATTAAATCAAAACAAACAAAACCTTCAATAAAACTTTAAGGCAAGGCAAACAAAACCTCTAACAACCATTAAAGTAAATCAAACAAACCATTCAAGTGAACAATAAAATCTTGGACTAAACAATATGTTTAACAAACAACTTTTCACAAATTTAAGATTTTATAGAGTTTCACAAACTTGGGAAACATAATTTAAAAAGCATGTATGAAATTATTTTCGCAAACTAGTTGTTCACAACATATAAAAATAACAATAAACATTAGTAAATTAGTTTACTCAAACAAACCATTCACTAAAAACTTTAAAAAATTGTTGCAATAAATATGTTAAATCTCCTGTACTGTAAATAAAATTAATTTTTGGAGTCATTAAAATTAAAATTGTCCCACTTAAATAACCAAAAACATTTGAATAAATTTGCTTTCCTTAAAAATAATTTTCTTAATTTAAATAAAAAATATTCGTAACTTTTTGCCCACAATTTAACAGATCTTAATAAATCAACAAAAAGAGATGATTGTTTGGTTGTTTGTATAAATTTGGATTTTATATTATAAGCTATCCGATAACCTGAAAATTATATTATTAAATAAATAATATTCACGAATAATGAAGTTAGATCTTAATAATTATTAAATCAAGTTTTTGAACTAAATGTGATAAGATAAGCTTAACAAAACATTTAATAATTATAATCAAAAAATTTGTTTAAATTAATTAAATCAAATTTGTAAAGCTATTGTCTCCAAACTTTTGTTTGAAAAACTAATTTAAGTTTGTGGAAAATATTTTCTCAGCTTATTTATTTACCTATATTAATTAATTATTTACCTGTCAAAACCAGTATACTCTTATTATAAAATTGATCATTTTGTTTTATCATACCATCAATTAATTCATTCAATATTTTTTTATTTTTATTAACAATTTCTTCATTAGCTATATTTGTTGGGTCAAAATTTTCAGGAAAATTATTATAAGGAATAGGTGCAGCCATTATATCTATTTCTACTCCTGATATTGAAATTGAAAGTATTGGAACTCTGGCATTTCCTATTGAATTTATATATGTTCCAGACATTGAATATCCCTTAATTATTATTTTAGATTTTAATTGTTTTTGTAAGATTTTGTTTTTTAATTATTAATTAATTGTTTAATAATTTTACAGGATAATTTTTGGAATAAAACCTTCTTAAATTTTTAAAATTTTAAACACCTTAGATTCAAATTCCTCAATAGTTTCCACATTATAAATTTCATTTTTTAAGAAAGTAGCAAGTGATTGGACATTTGAACCAAAAAATAGATCATGTTCTATACAAAAACGAATGTTTCCGTTCCTTTGACATTTTTCACAATTTTCCGAAATATTTTGTTGAGGACATAAACACTTTTGTGGGAAAATAAAAATAATGTCCAAATCGGAGTCGGGTCCTGCTGTTTCAAGAAATGTAGAGCCTCCAATAATAATCTTATATTCTTCTTAAAATTAAAAAATGTTTAAGGTTATCTTAACAAAATATGTTCAGGTTTGGCCTTGACTAAAAATAGCGGTATCCTACACTCTGTCCCATAATTATAAACGCACCCATATTTTTTTGAAATTTACATTTGAAATCTAATTATTTTTTCTGACTTTTCGTATAATGATTGCAGGCTTAGAAATATGTAAAAATATTGTAAAAGTTACAAGAGTATATGTAGAGATCTACATAGTTCAGAAATTTAATATCGAAATAAAGATTTTTTGATGTATTTCGAATCTTGATTGGCTTCAAGACACTCAACTATGAATTTCTATATTATAGTTAGGATTTGTAAATTTTCAGATAAGGCTTTTTTTATATTATTATTCTATAATATAAAAAATTATTCCTTATTATTCCTTATTCTATACATATTTTCAATATTTACCTCCATTATCTACAAAATTTTTCTTGCATATATTTTTTAACCAGTTTTTGAATTTTCCTTCTAGCCACTCAATTATGAATTTCTTCTTTTCCTCTACTCCATTATTACTCATATACATTGAATTTAAGTAATTGTGAAGCTTTAAAATTAACAGAAAAATATTTAAAAATATCTAACTTTAAAAATTAACCTCTTCATTTTTAAAAAATTTATTAGGAACAAATATGTTCAAGTCTGATTTTTGTTTTTTAAATATATTTTCTCCAAATATTTCTGTCATTTGTTGAATTAAATTTTTGTCTAAGATTAATTTAAATAACTTATAAAAGACTTTATGGACTTAAAATTTATTCAAAAATTTTTTTTGTAATTATCTACCTAGCTTTTCTTGCTCAATTGAATCCATTTGCCTTTCGATTTTATTTAAAAATTTTTTTACAAATTTTTTCAAGTACATTTCTCCTTTATTTTCATCAAAATTCACCATTTTATTATTATTTTCATCTATTTTTTCCTTAACCAAATTTTCTATTTGTTCAAAAAACTCTAAATTTACAATTCTATTTTCATCAACAAACTTTTCAAAAAATCTCAAAAATCTATCCTTATCGAGTATTAAGTAATTTTTGTTTTGAGAAACTACTTTATATGCATTTTTAGCCAAAAACATAGAAATTGTTTGCAAACGAAGTTGTTTTATTAACAAAACATTTTTAACATTATTAGCATTATTTTGTTTGTTTGGCCTTTCTAAACTTGTTTGTTGCAGTCTAAAATATTTTTAAACTTTAATAATAAATTTTAACATTTCTCTAACAATGTTTTTTTTCAAAATTAAAATTATCTTAAAAATACAAATCTTTGAATAAACTTACAAAATTCTCTCAAAATTTTTTACAAACTTATTATTAAGTTTGTAAAACATTCCAAAACTTAAAAATCTATAAACATTAAACATTTTTTCCAATAAAACATCAATGTTAATTGTTTCTGTCGTTAAGTTTGTTAAAACTTGTTTTGTAAAACTTGACCAACTTTCTCTCAATTTATTGTAAAACTTGTTTGTTTGATTAAAAGTTGTTTGGTTTAAACTTGTTTCTGTTAATGTTTTCAAGCTTGTTTTATTTTCTTCATGTTTTGCTTCATTTTTTGCTTCATTTTCACTATTAGCCTCAACGATATTTAATGCTTCCAAAATATTGTTTATTAAAATTACAATATCAATTAATTTGATAATATTATTTCCTTTTTCATTAAAATATTTTACAACTAAATTTTCAAATATCACATCGAATATATTTTTATCTTCAAAAGCTAAGTCATTTGAATTAAAAATTGCTAGGAATTTTAATTTAAATAAATTATTTAATTAAAATTACTATTTAATAAAACACTTGGGTTGGTAAACAAATCAAAATTAAAATTCTGATCAGAGCTGGACGAGAGTGATGATGTTGCTTCAATACTTGTATTGTCTTCCTTTATCTTGTGCTTAGTTTTACCCTTTTTTTCTTCAAGTTTATTATCGTTTTTGGAAGACAATGATTTTAATAATGTACGAGAATGTATAATTTTTCTATTTTGTAATTTAGCCCCTTCAAAATTTTAAATTAATAAAGTTTAGAATAGGATTGGACAGAAATGGCTTGACGAACCGAAACCGCCCTGTTTCGGTCTTCTTTTCTCTATCTCCTCTCGGGTTTTTACACCGAAACCGCCCGGTTTCGGTGTAAAAACCCGCCCCGTTCCATTACCTTCAGTTTGTAGTCGACCTAATTTATCTTCAATCACTCTTCCTTTTGCTTTCACTTTGCTCTCTTCTTCATCTTTCTTGATACCCCCATTCTCTTTTCCTTCGTCTTCCTCTTTCACTCTTCCCTTCTCTTTCTCTTTCACTCTTCCCTTCTTTTCATCTTCAATTCTCCCCTCCTCTTTCACCATTACTCTTTCTTTCTCATTCATTGTCCCTTCTTTGTATCCCATATTTCTTCCTTCTCCTTCAACTTCTATTTTGCTTTCTACATCTCCTGCAACCACTTTTTTATCTTCCACCTTGAAAGATTCTTCCTCTTTCGTTAAAACTTTTCCTTCCTCCAACTTTCTTCCTCTATCCTCTTCTCTCATAAATCCTCTATTCCCTAGCACATCCATAACTTGTCCTATCTTACCTTCGAAGTCACCACCTTCAACCTTTTCCTCTTCCATAAATCTTTTTTTCTCTATCTCCTCTGAAATTTTGTTTTCCTCTTTTAAAAATCTTTTCTTCTCTACAATCATTTCTATTCCCTCTTCCTTTCCCTCCTTTCCTTCCAAAGCTCTTCCTTCCTTCAACTCCACAATCTTGCTATCACTTCCTTCTCCTTCTAAAACACTTACATATTTACTTTCAATTTTTTCTTTTCCTCTCCTTCCTTTTTCTTCCTCTATTTTTTTCTTCTCAATACTCTTTTGATCGAAATCTGTTCTTTCCACATCAAGTTCTTCAAAAATTTCATCCCTCATTCTCTCTTTATTTTTACTTTTGTTACCTCTCAATTCCTCAATTCTTTCAAATAATTCTTTTGGAGTTAAATTGAACAATTCTTTTACTTGATTAGCTAAAATTATAATTATTATAACTATGAGTAATTCCTTATTTCAAAATCCATAAGGAAATAATTCTTTCTAATTTTTTTAGTGCCCGGCCTCGTTCTAACATACTCCTTTCCTCTCCTATCCTTTTCTTCCTCAATTTTTTTCCTAAATTTTATAATCCTAAATTCAATATACGTTTTTAACTCTGTTTGACAAACACTGGGTCGTGTCCGGAAATTTGGGGAGTGGACACTTGGGCAGTGGACATTTGGGGAGTGGATAAATGCGGAGTGAGCGGACAATTGGGGAGTGGACATTTGGGGAGTAGCCTAACGATAAAAATACAATGAATATTAAAGTTTTTATCGCTTTTGTATTTAAAAAATCAATTAGGAATCTCTCGAATGAGCTATTATATTTTTATTATTATATTCTTTTAGCTATTATATTCTATTATTATTTTTCGAATTTTTGACTCTAAAATCCCACCATTGGTATTTGACCATTTCGAGCCCTATATCTCGACTCAAACTTGTTTAATCAAGCTAATTTTAGTGTCATTCGACTCAGATCGAGAGCTCTTTCGAATGAGCTATTACTTGCATATTCGAATTTTTTACTCCAACGAGCTTACCCCCTCCCTCTATGGGTTTTCAATTTTTCAACCTATAACTCGGTTCAGAATCATTTCCTGAAATTGGGAGTTGGGTTTTTTTTCCGAAAATTGGATTTCGACTCAGCTCGCCGAGACGAATCGAATGACATATTCCACGTCCCAAACGTTTATCTCCGGTGAACTTATATCCATTTTTTAAATACAAAAGCAAGAAAAACTATGTAATATTCATTGTATTTTTATCGTTAGGCTACTCCCCAAATGTCCACTCCCCAATTGTCCGCTCACTCCCCATTTATCTACTCCCCAAATGCCCACTCCCCAAGTGTACACTCCCCAAATCTCCGGGAGCCCACTGGGTGGTTGACAAGTACAACATTAAGGTGTAACTCATTATAAGATACTACGACTTTTCAGCCCCAAGGATGTATCTATAAGTGAGATCCAATTGTATGAATATAACTAACGATGTGTTGTCAATAGATTTCTCATATTATTTTTATTTTTTCCGTCACTTTCTTTAAAAATCTCTGTAATTTTTTCTATCCAAATCTCTCTCTGTCCTTTTAAATTTTCTTCAATATGATAATCTTGTCCATTTTTTAGATATACACAATTCTCCCAAACATCGCTCATTTTAGCTAAAAATTCTTTTTTAATTTCTTTCTTTTCATATAAACGTTTTGAATGAATAAATTTATCTATATATTCACAACATTCTTTTGCTGTTTCGAGATATATTGCTGTAAATAAATTTGAGCGGGCATACTCTTCGGTAAATAAATAGATTTCCTAAACAGAAAAACAAAAATATTTACAATCAGTTTCGACATCTCATTCCAAATTATTTGAATGGCGCTCTCTCTTTTGTCGCAATTAGAAACACTAATTGTGAGGTAATCGGCCTCTGTCTATCCCTCAATCAACAGAACCCTAACTACCAGCAACCAGAAAGTGATGCGTAAAGAGACACAGATCCTGCACTTGTGGAGTTTGGACAGAATAAATTTTCATTTTCTAACAGAACTTAATTCTTCAAGCGAAAAAATTATTTAAAGTAACATTATGTTACGCGGGACGGACAATACCAGACTTGAATACCCCCACCAATGCCATTCCTTTTCCAATCCCCGACTCAATCATATAGGCTCTCCCTTCCCTCTCTTCTCTATCATTTTATCCACTTTTCACCCCCAAGCCCCACCCCCTTTCTCTCTACTACTTGATTGGAAGAAGGAAGAAGAGGTTGGTTCATTCTCCTTCGTTTGTTTTTGTTTGGAATTGTTTTGGAATGGAGATGAGAGTGTTTATTGGATTTAATATTATTTTTGATTTTGCCTTGTATTTACTTTTATTTTAAATGCCTTTCCATTTTTATTTGTTTTAATTATTTAACCCACTTATATATTTTGATGCCTAAATAAATATTTTGTTGAATCCCGGCCTTATTTATTGAGATTAGGGAGTCCTCTGCGCCACCCCAATACCGGCCCGTCGTTTTGTCATCTTGTCTTCCTCCTCCCTTCCCCCTTTCAGGCGCTCCGAAGATACCGGGAGGACGGTCGGGCGTCCAAGTCCTGACCGTCCGTCCCGCGTATAACTGGTAGCACACCGGATGGTTCCCTTCCCTCTCGACCCAAAATTTTTTTTTTTAATCCTTTATCCCTCTCTCCCTCCCATTTTTAAAATAAACACTGATTCATCCTATATCAGGATGGAAAATTTTTTTTTCTTTCTCCAATAAAAATATAGGCACTATTTTTTTTACAATAAATTCCCTTCAAATTGACCCAGACATTACCCCAAGCCAAGCTATCTACAACATCGGCGTTATAAAACACAGATGTGTAGTTTAGCATTCTCTCCCCCCCCCCAACCCATTCAAAAAACACATATTTTCTTTGTCCTTTTCGTTGTCCCATTCCTGCAGCAGTTCAATAAAAAATGCGCACATCCAAACAGGCAAAGAAGAAAAAATTGACCTACCCTTTTTGCCCATTTTAGCTTCGCTTTACTTTCCCCATTATAATTTTTCTGGCCACTTTTCTCAACATCTCTCCTTATTTCCTACCATTTTGCATCTCCGTCCTTACACATTTTTTTATAAATTTGTCCTTACATACATTTTATAAACTATGAATTTATTAATGTTAAAATTACATAAATTTATTTTTCCCTTTTCTCTTAACTTTTTATCCTTATCAGGTTACTTTAAGAATAGAATGTTAAAATCAAAATCCCCCTGTTGGAAAAATCAAGGTCTGGATCTGGGTCTTTTATTTCCCCTTTCTTCTGAAACTCCCCGCATTAAAATTGTTTGTTTCGGATATTCCAGAACAAACCTTTCCACTAAAATTTTAACCATTTTTACAGTGCCACACTCTTCCCAGTTCCCAGTAAACATTTTTTTCCAACCATTTGTCAACAACCTCTTTATTTTTACCACTCCCAACCCCATCCATATACATATTTGATAATGGTTATTTTTATTACTTATCTTTCAATTTTTATGCATATCTAAAACAAATTATTCTTAAATAAATTATTTTAAAATAATCCTAGGAATTCATACCAGGGAGGAACGCTTCCGCGTTCCGCCTTCCTCAGAATTCTGCCCTCTTTTTGGTCTTCCGCTCCACCTTCCGTCTTCCTCTTTTTTTTTTAATTTTATTCCGCTTTCCCCCGCTTCCGCCTTCCGCTTTTCAAAATAAAAAAATTCTCCATCCCTATTTCATACCAGTCTTTTTGTTAAGACTAGAATGAAATTTTAGGAACAAATTTTTTTTTAGGTTTCCCATCCCCTTAAAATATTTCTCAAACCCTTCTTACCTAATTTTCTAGTTTTATCAATCGGGTGTTAAAACTAGAGATTAAAATCACAAATCGCCTAATAGGAAAAATCATCCATAGGAAAAATCATCCATTTGTTTCGGAAACATCCAAAACAAAAAAAAGATATAACAGGGATAAGAAATATTGTAAATTTTAAAATTAAATATTTTTTTAAATTTAAAAATCATTGTAAATTTTTGTGTTCACTTATTCCAAAAAATTTTTTCAATACAGTATATTTTAATATTTTTCTAAAAAATCCACTTTTAATTTTCCCTGAGAAGAGATAGGATACTGTACAAAAACAAAGTCCGCGTGCATTCCAATCCTTTACAAAAAAAAAAAAGAGAAAAGAAAAATAAAATTTTGTCCAAGTCTGGGAATCATCCTTATCTCTTTAAAATCATTTTTTATCGGCGCGATTGAAACAAACAATTTTAAAACAAATTCCCTTAGATAGCTAACAATTATTACACTCCCTTGAGAAAGCGCCATCTTTAAAACAGTAAAAGCATTACAAACTATCCTTTTCCTTCTATCCTTTTTAAAATAATAATTCCCAGTAATTACAATAAAAAGAAAACAAAATATTAGCTTTCCCAGATGCATCCTTTAAGCCATAACGCCCCTTTGATAGAAATTATCCATATATAAGAGTAAGGAAAATCATTATCCATCACCTTTTAATTTTAATTCAAAAAAAAATTCTTTTTTCAAAATCATCCTACTTATAATCAACTACAAATAAAATTTTTCTTTTTAAAATAATTTAATTAAAACACATCGTTAGTATTATTCAAATAATATTAACTGATCATTTTCCATTTTCAATTTTTTTTTTAATTTTTATTTTTCCCTCTCATTTATCGTTTTTAATTTTAATTTAAAATTTTAATTTATTTAAATCATCACCCTCTCATTCATTCAAAAAACACCAGTAATGACTGAAGACGAAAATACACCAGTAGGGACCGAAAATATTACTGCAATTGACCGTAGGCTCTTTTCCGGGCGTACAGGGAATCCGAAATTTCAGGATCTAGATAGTCTTCTAGCTAATACTGCCTCCTTAGAAGAGTCAGTGAATCGCTCTTTTCGTGCAGTTAACCGAAGGGTAAACTCCACGACACAAGCGATAAACACAATTTCTGGGGATCTAAACACGGGACTTCTCACTTTGGCCAAAAGAATAGACACACTCTTGCCCGAAACCCAAACTCCTCAGCCAAAAGCAACAGTCCCGACCGAAAATTTAATTAGTCTGACACCAGCAAATGCCGCAGGGAATTCCCAGCAGCAAACTAATACCGCCCCCATCCAACTCCCAAACTCCGAAACCAACCTCTCCGACGATGAAGAAGACACAATCGGACGCATCGCCGGCCTTACATTTGATTACCCCCTCAACTCCCATGGCCCCGTCCCAATTTACTCAGGCGAATCCTCTGGCACCTTTTCCTCATGGGCCCAAAAATTTCTCGATTATATGGAAGGAACCGCACAAAAGTTAGACGAACCCTCAAAAATAGGCAGACTTAAAATGTTTTTAGACGGAATACCCCGGCAGGTCCTAGAAGAACTCCCTCCCGAAGACAAAAACACTCTAGCCAAGGCATTAGATTCACTCAAACGCTCCCTTGACACCCCAATCAGAGCTCAATTGGCAAAACAATCTCTCTCCCTCTGCCGACAAAAGGAAGATGAGTCACTTGATCGATTTGTCGATAGACTCATCCCTCTTGTTTTCGCAGCATATCCCGAACAAACCCCTCAGTCAAGAAAAGACATTCTAAAGGCTGCATTTCTCGATAAAATTAAGGAAGAAATCGCATTCTATGTTAGAGTAGGAATTACCCCCCAGCAATCATTCGAAGAAGTTAGGATTAAGGCACTAGAAGTAGAAAACTTAATTCAAACACGTAAACGCAAACACGACCATGAGGAATGGCTCAATGTCATATCTCATGCAAACACACAAAACCCTCCTCGATTTCCTATTGGCAATTTTACTACTTGGCAGAACAATCCAAATAGTAATTTTACCACTACCCCAGGCACAAACTATAACCAACGACCCAGAAATACTTATTGGAACCAAAATCAACCTCAAAGAAATTTTAGAGGAAATGTATCACAAAACTTCCAGGCCAGACCCCAGTACTCGCGCAACTTCAATCAATCCCAAAATACCGGACCATCTAACCCAAATGCATTTAAGACTTGCAATTATTGCCATAAAATGGGGCATGTAATCGCCGATTGTTACACCAGGGCACGACTTTATGGACCGTACCCTAACCGAAACCGCTCTTTCAATCCAAATTTTCAACCTTTAAGGAATAATCCGGCATACAACCCCGGGCAAAATAGAAACAACCCCAATATAAGAAACACTACTGAACGTCTAAATTTCATAGACATTCATGAAAGAAACAACCAAGAATATACTTGGAATTCTGATGACCCTGACCCACATAATCTAAAATCATTAACACTCTCCCCTCCCGAAAATTCCAAAAATAAGGGTAAGATTAATGAAACCCCCGACATTGAACCAATGCGCCCAACAAAACTTGAAAATTGGGAGAACCAATCAAACGTAAAACCTAGCTTCTCCATTGCCCCGTTCATTACCCGTCTGACACACATTCTATGTTTGCTTATGATTATACCCGGGCTTTTCGCTTTTCCAAATTCCAATAAACTCACCTCATACAATCCTCAAAATCCTATGATATGCCAAACCGAACAGCAGGGGGAATACTGGACATTACCAAACTTTGCACCTTGCCCACGCCTCAAGCAAAATCGGTCAGGAATCCCTGTTTCACAGAATATCAGACTTTACCGCCTTAACGCC